TGATCCAAGGAAGAGTGAGAAGTCTAACATGCCTAAAGGGGGAATTCCAAGAGGACAGAAGAGAATGAGGCAGGAAAAAACATGAAATCTGGTGAAAGACGATAATTTACAGATTCAAGCAGCTCAATGTGTCCTAAGAAGAATGTGTAAAAGAAAATCACAGCCAGACACATCACAGTCAACTACTGAAAACCAAACAAAAAGAGAAAATATTGGAAGCACCCAGAGAAAAATGACATTCAAGGGAATAACAGTTCAAACAATGAATGACTTCTCAGAAACAATGGAGCAGATAGAATGGGGGAGGGGGAAAATAGACCTACACGGTTGCAAAATTCTTGCATCTTACATGAAATGGCACAATATAAATTCTAAATAGTCTGAAATGTTAAGAATGTAATTACAATCCCTAGAGCAACCAATGGAGAAGGAAATGGCAACCCACTCCAGTATTCTTGCCTGGAGAATCCCAGGGACAGAGGAGCCTGGTGGGCTGCCGTCTATGGAGTCGCACAGAGTCGGACACGACTGAAGTGATTTAGCAGCAGCAGCAGCAAAGTAACTAATATAAAATAATGCTGAGGTATACCCCCAGATCAGGGCTTCCCAGACGGTTCAGTGGTAAAGAAATTGCCTGCAATACAGAGGGCACGAGAAATGGGGTGAGGGAGTGTCTATCCCTGGTTGGGAAGACCCCATGGAGAAGGATATGGCAACACACTCCAGTATTCTAGCCTAGAAAATCCCATGGACAGAGGTGCCTGGTGGGCTACAATCCACCCAGTCACAAAGAATCAGACACAGCTCATCATGCACACATACTTCCAGGTCAAGGTATACCTAAAAAGCCAATAAATACATTAAATGATATTTTAAAATATTAATTTAACCCAAAAAGGTCAGCAAAGGAGGAAAAGAAAAACATCAGAGGGGGCAAACACAAAACAAATAATAAAATAGGAGACCTGACTCACCACATCAATGTCCCTGTGTGTGTGTGTGTGTGTGTTTGTGCTCAGCCATGTCTGACTCCTTGCAACTCTTTGGGGTAGGATTTGCTTCTAAACTTGCATCCATGGCTGTGGCCTCGGGTCCACACTGGTTGTTGGCCAGAGACACGTGTTCTTCATCCCATGGGGCAGCAAGTGAGGGGGAAGGGGAGGTGAGGTCACCTTCACGATCAGTGACCAGACCCTCTCCTGCTGTTTCCTCCTTGTCACTGGGTGCAGTCCACACTCCAAGGGAGGGGGTTACAGGAGGGTGTGGGCTGAGCAGTTTACTGTTGTTGACTTTTAAAAGTTCTTTGTAAATTCTGATCAGATATATGAGTTGCAAATATGTTCTCAACTCTGTAATTTGTCTCTTCCCTTTCTTGGCAATTCCATGCTGTCCACCTGACTGGCTTTGGTCAGTTGAGAGTCTCACCACCAGTGAGGAGTCTCAACGGGCTACACTGTCACAAATATTTGGGATTTTCAGACTTGGAGATTTGTGCCATCTTCATTTGTGTTTCTCTGATTACTCCTGAGGCTGATCACTTTTGCACTGTTTACTGGGTATCTGGAATTATTCTTTGGAAAAATTAATCTTCAAGTATTTGCTGTGCTTCTTGGGTCATTGGTCTTTCACTCACTGATTTCTGGTCATGGAGCCCTAGACCTGCATGGGTTTTAGGCAATGGAAACATTCTTTCCTGTCCTGTGACTTGTCTTTTTCTTTCTTCATGGTCTGTGTGTGTGTATGTCCTTTAAAAATTTTATTTTATTTATTTTGGCTGCGCCAGGTCTTAGTTGCAGCATGCAGGATCTTCGATCTTTATTGTGGCATGTGAACCCTTAGTTGCAGCATGTGGGATCTAAGTTCCTGATCAGGGAATGAACTCATGCCTTCTGCGCTGGGGGCATGTAGCCTCAGCCACTGGAGCATCAAGGAAGTCCTTGTGTGTGTGTATTTAACAGACCTTATTTCTGAGAAGTTTTAGATTCACAGCAAAATTAAGCAGAAAGTACAGTTTGCAAACATCCCTTGCTCCCAAACATGCACAACCTCCCCCACCATCAGCATCCCCACCAGACCACGTGGTACAGTAGTTACAGCTGATGAATCTACATCATGAATCACCCACAGTCCACAGTTTACATTAGGCTTCCATCTTGGTGGTGCACTTTTGGCAGGTTTGGACAAATGACAAATAAAGAATCTGCGCACAATGCAGGAGTCGCAGGTCAGGAAGATCCCCTGGAGAAGAGAATGGCAACCCACTCCCATATTCTTGCCTGGAGAATCCCTGGAACAAAGTAGCCTGGTGGGCTGCAGTCCATGGAGTCACAAAGAGTCAGACAAGACTGAGTGACTAACACACACATACAGTAATGACATGTATCTATCATTATAGCATCATACAGGGTAGTCTCATTGCCTTGAAAATCCTCTGTGCTCTGCCTGTTCATCCTTTCCAACCCCTAAGCCCTGCCAACCAGGAGTCTACACTTCATTGCAGTGAAGTGGGTTCCCTGGGTTCCCTTGTTGCAGAGCGCGGGCTCTAGGGCGCACTCTAAGCTGTGGCGCATGGGCTTAGCTGCCCCGCAGCATGTGGAACCTTCCTGCACCAGAGGTTGAATCTGTGTCCCCTGCATTGACAAGGAAGGTGGATTCTTAACCACTGGACCACCAGGAAAGTCCTGATTTGTAGTTTTTAGAGTATATGAAATCAAAAGGGAAATCAGACAGTACTTAAGGGACTTCAGGGCGAGTGAGACACAGGTTCAGCTGCCGGTCCAGGAAGATCCCACATGCCCCAGAGCAACTAAGCCCATGGGCCACAGCTACTGAGCCTGAGATCCAGAGCCTGTGCACTGCAACAAAGAGTGGCCCCTATTTGCTGCAACTAGAGAAAACTGGGAGAAATATCAACAACCTCAGATACACTGCTGATACCACTCTAATGGAAGAAAGCAAAGAGGAACTAAAGAGCCTCTTGATGAGGGTGAAAGAGGAGAGTGAACAAGTTGGCTTAAAACACAACATTAAAGAAACTAAAATAATGGAATCTGGGACTATAACTTCATGGCAAACAGAAGGGGGAAAGTGAAAGCAGTGACAAATTTTATTTTCGTGGGCTCCAAAATCACTGCAGAGGGCGACTGCAGCCATGAAATTAAAAGATGCATGCTTCTTGGAAGGAAAACTATGACAAACCTAGACATTATATTAAAAAGCAAAGATATAAAAAAACAAAACAAACAAGCAAACAAAAAGCAAAAATATCACTTTTCCAACAAAGTCCATATAGTCAAAGCTACAGTTTTTCCGGTAGTCACGTACAGGTGTGCGAGCTGGACCATAAAGAAGGCTGAGTGCTAAGAAGTATCAGGTGACACTATGGCCGCCTGATGTGAAGAGCTGACTCATTGGAAAAGATCCGGATTCTGGGAAAGATTGAAGGCAAAAGGAGAAAGGGGCAGCAGAGGATGAGATGGTTAGATAGCATCACTGACTTAATGGACATGAATCTGAGCAAACTCCAGGAGATGTGGACAGAGGAGCCTGGCGTGCTGCAGTACATGGGGTTGCAAAGAGTTAACACAACTTCGTGACAGAAAAACAACAAGAGAAAGCAGCAATGAAGAACCAGTGTAGAAAAGAAATGAAAAATCCACCTTGGAATGCAGGGTATGTGGGTTGAATCCCTATTCAGGGAACTAAGATCCCACAGCCAGGGGGGAACTAAGCCCATGTGCTGCAAATGACAGAGCCCATGGGCTCCAGAGCCCGTGTGCCACAACTAGAGAGAAGCCCAAAACAAAGATCACAAGTGCTGCAACTAAGACCCAACGCAGTAAGAAATAAATCAATTTTTAAAAAAAGAAAGAGGGACTTCCCTGGGACTTCCCAAAGACTAAGACTCTGCACTCCCAATGTAGGGGCTCCGGGTTCAATCCCTGGTCAGGAAACTAGATTCCACATGCTGCAACTAAAGATCCCGCATGCCACAACTAAGACCCAGCACAGCCAAATAAAAAAATAATAAAAGTAAATATTAAAAAAAATAAAATACTCTGAGATGAAAGGAAATGAAGGCATATCAAAACAAATGGAATACAGTTAATACAGTGTTTAGAGGGAAATTTATAGCTGTAAGTGTCCATACTAAGAAAGAAAAAAGATTACAAAACAATCATGTCCCATCTTAAGACAGTGGAAAAAGCAAGTCTCTTGTATTCAACATTTTACTGGAGATCCTGGCTGTGGTCACCATGTTTCTCCCCTCTGGAGATTCCAGCCAGAGCAATTCATTAATAAAATGAAACAAAAGGCATCTAAATTGGGGACCCTTGCGTGTACAAAATCCTGAAGAATCCAGTAAGCAACTATTAGAACTAATAAATGAATTCAGCAAAGTTTTTGGGTACAAGATCTATATACAAAACTCAATTGTATTTTTATACTCTCGCAATCAACAATTGAAAATGACACTAAGAAAAAAACTCCATCCACACAACACACAGAAATATACATGGGGACTTCCCTGGCAGTCCAGTGGTCGAGACTCTATACTTCCAATGCCAAGGGCCTAGGTTTAACCTTGGTGTAGAAACTAAGATCCCACACACAGCGTGGTGTGATCAAATAAATATCATAGCTTAAAAAACAAATTTTAAAGTATGTATGTTTTTTACAAAATTAATTACGTTAGATCCTGTGGATCTCAAAATTCAAATAGTAAGCTGCCACCTTTTCAACCTGAACTGTACTATAAATGAGAATATCTGTGATTTCTGTTTATGATCAAGTCACAGGCATCGCAAGGTTTTTCAGTGAAGCTAAATTCCTCCTGTTCGAGGCCCGTTAAGAATAAGGGTGGGATTTTTCCCCATCCAAATGCCTGGATGCCCGGCCTGACCTTGCCTGACCATGCAGGTCCATCCTCCCAGCTCAGGGTGTCAATTCAGAGGGAGATCCAGACCCAGGTGGGAGCAACTCGGCCGGCGCCGGCGGCTGGGAGTCATGCGCTGCGTCTCCGGGCTCGCGGCGCTGCGGGGGCTGCTGTGCGGCGCGCGGGCCCTGGGCCCTAGCCTGCTCGCGCGCTCCTGCTCGGGTGAGTCCGCCCGCCTGGCGGCCACGCGCGGGGTGGGGCGGGTCGAGGAGCCGCCGGCCTTTGCTGACGCACGTGCGGCCCCGGCGCGGCGGCTGGAGGCCCGAGAGCAGGCGGGCTGGAGAGGCGCGCCCCTGGGGTTCCTGCCCCGCGGGGCCCCCGCGCTCACAGCCATTGCGCTCACCGCCACCGCCACCGCCCACTCCCAGCCAGGCCCCCACGGCCCCGCTCACCTCACCTTATTCTGGGCAGGGGGTCCCAGGGCTCCGCAGCCGGAGGAAACCAGAAGCTTGGTGGCCACACTTTGTGCTTGCAGGGATCCCAGGGGGCCCAGGGCTCCTGCGTGAGGTCATTCTCAGCAAATGAACACTCCTATCCTGAGGCGTCTTTCCGCCAGGCATATCCCTGCCTGGAGCCTTGCAGTTATCCGGGGGTCCTCCTCCCCAGCAGCTGGCCCTTGGGCGCTTCCAGAGTCCTGGGGTTCCAATACTGGCGAGGGTAAACTGCCATCTTCCGAGACAGGAGCCAGCTGGCAGGAGGCCAGGCTGGACAGCAGGGCCCCTAGGGACTGGGCTTGGTGGAGGGGGGGCGGGGAGAATAAGGGTGGGGACCTTCCTGCAGTGCAAGGCATTGAAGGTACGTGGTGTGGTGGGCACCCGATGCCTGCTCCCCAAGCCCTCCTGGGGCTGGGAAGGCAGATGCAGATGCCCCCAGGGACACTGGCTCTTCTGGACCTGACTGCTCATCTCTTCTCCAGTTTTCTCCTCCCTCTCTGCAGGGCTTAGCGCCAATCCAGGGTCTGGGCCCTTCTCCAGAGTACACTTGACCCTAGACCCAATGCCAAGGGTCAGCCTAACTCTGGAAGTTTTAGGTGGTAGGAGGGTGATGACGCTGGGGGTCTCTCTGGCAGCGTCACGCCCAGAGGAGGAGGACTGGGGCAGTGTTGACTTTAGGACACTTTAGGTTTCAAGTGTCCTGCCTTGAAACCCCAACAGCAGCCTGGCCAAGGAAGGTGTCAGGGGAGGACCCTTCCCCCTTTCTCAATCCCCAGGTCCCTTTCTCTCTCTCTCCCTGTGGCCCAGTGGGAAAGTGCTTTTCACTCTCCCTGGTCCCAGAAGATGGATGCTGGATCCCTCCTGATGTGGTAGTTTGGGGGTGCAGACGTGTCTATGCTAGCTCCCCGAAGTACAGGCGTGAACATCAGGACTTGTACTTTCTTTCCAGTGTGGCGTCTCAGGGGCACCAGCTCCATCAAGGGCAGCTTCTCCCACTGCCTGCCTGGGTGGGGCCATGGCCCCTGCGACAGGCTGAAGTCCCCAGGGACCCACCGTGCTGGACAGTCCTGGCTGTGGGCACCATACTTTTCCCCTCCAGGACCGCTCTGGTTGAGGCAAACTCTGCAGTCTAGGGGACGCCTGGGTCTTGGCAGGGGAAGCCAGGTCCAGGAGATGTGAAAGGTGAGGCCATGGCAGCCCCGAGCCCCCCTCTTCTACAGGAGGACCCTCCTGGACCCGGGAGCGGACCCTGGTTGCGGTGAAGCCAGATGGGGTGCAGCGGCGGCTGGTCGGGGATGTGATCCAGCGCTTTGAAAGGAGGGGCTTCAAGCTGGTGGGGATGAAGATGCTGCAGGTACCAGGGCTTTCGGCCTGTGGGTGTTGTTGAGGGGACCGGGGTGGGGGCTGTTCTCAGCCCTGTGTCAGGACCAGCCTCCTTGTGCTGGCAGTAGAAGGGGAGGGGCGGGGAAGTGTCTGTGCTAAGCTGGAATGCCAGCCCTTGTCAGTGTTGTCTGCTGAGGGCCCTGCAGTCAGGATGCCACAACCACTGCCCTGGTGCCCAGTGGGGCTCCCTCTCACCCCTTCCCTCAACGCACCAGGCCCCAGAGAGGATCCTTGCTGAGCACTACCACGATCTGCAGAGGAAGCCCTTCTACCCAGCCCTCATCAGCTACATGAGCTCCGGCCCAGTGGTGGCCATGGTACGGTAGGGCCGCGGCGGTGGGAGGGTGGAGGGCCCTGGGTTGAGCCCTGGGTGACCCCCACCTCTCCCCACCTGCTCTATCTCTCTGCTGCAGGTCTGGGAAGGCCCCAATGTGGTCTGTACCTCGAGGGCCATGATAGGCCACACCAACTCCGCCAAGGCTGCCCCTGGCACCATCCGGGGAGACTTCAGCACCCACGTCAGCAGGTAACACACTCAGCCACTTGGACCTGAGGGCAAGTGCCCTAGGGGCTCAGGGTGGCGGCCTGTGCCCAAGGCAGATCCACTGAGCCTGGGCGTCTTGCTAAGGGGAAAGTGAAGCTAGAAAACGATGGTAGCATGTCACACCTGATGTTGGCTAGTGCAGTACTTTTCAAAACCTTTTCGTGTACACAGGAGATGATAAAGCATTCCCTGTGTTGTGTCTATGGTCTGCCATCAGGGTCTGTCACCTGACTTTACCTCCAGACACCCCAGGGTTTGGCCCGGGACAGATGCCAAGGTCAGGCTGGAACCCAATTTTCCAGCTCCTCTGTTCCTTGCCCCTCTGCACCATCACCCACCCACTCCCCTAGACAGTCGGGGATCGGCAGACTCTGCCTAGGACCCCCGAGGTGCATGCTGAAGCCTGTGTCCTACCTCTGCCACCTGGCACAGGAATGTCATCCATGCCAGCGACTCTGTGGAGGGGGCCCAGAGAGAGATCCAGCTGTGGTTCCAGAGCAGTGAGCTGGTGGACTGGGCAGATGAAGGCCACCTCAGCAGCATCTACGCAGCTTGAGCACGCAGGTGCCCGCGGTCACCCCGGCATCCACTCAGGACCAGCTACCTCTGTTGACAAGAACTTGAGCTCACACCCATGCTCTGCCCATCTGTCCCAGACCACCTCCCTGTCCACCTTCTGCCCCACTCCAGCCACAGAGTGGTTGAGCCACCAACTTTATGTGCCTTTTAGTATTATCCTAAGCCAGCAAGGGACTGGACCAAGTCCTTTCTGAACCAAAGTGCCAGACAAGCTTTGGGGTCCAAAAGCTGGTAGTGTGACCGTCCTTTCCCCAAAGTGGGGACATTAAAATTCACTGTGCTGTGCATGGGAGTGGAGTGCTCATTATGGCCCCTGCCATCTCTAAGGTGGGAATGAGGCTTTATGCAAAGTTGTAAGCAGCTTGAAAGTAGAAATGAAGCTTACCATCTCACACACCAGGAGATCAAGAACTTTGTTGAATGTATGAGACAGGCAGAGGTCCAGAGGCCTCCAGCCTGAAATCTGGGAGCTCCAAGCTGAGCCACAGAGCTTGTGCTGTCCCTCAAGGAGGAGCCCTAGGCAGTTGTGAACAGGAGCAGGAAGGGGTAGGCAGGGAGCTGAAGCCGCCCCGAAGGCAGAAAGGCTGTGGCCTCATTGACACTGCATATGTCACTCCTCACACCTGGCCCTCAGGTGTGTCCCTGGCCACTCGTCACAGGTACTGGATACTGCATGTCATTACACCTGCTGAGGCCGACTGGTCCTAACCCTGCTTTATGACGTCTTGGCGACGCTGGCCTTGGGTTCCAACTCAGGTTTCTGCCTGTGCCTCCACGTGAGGGCGCGGTTGAAGGGTCTGACCTTTAACTGGCCATGAAAGGGTCATGTTTGAAGCTGACCCTGGGGCTGGCCATGCGAGGAAAAGGCCTTCCTAGTTTCCCGTGACTTTCCTAGGCTCTAGTCTCCTTCCCTCTTCTTTGCAACAGGGAAGAGAAGCACCCGGGAGAGGAAGACACTTAAATGCTAAGCGAGTCCTAATACGTGTTTTAAATGCACAGAAAGGCCCAAAGCGGTGAGGGAGCCGAGGGGCCCCGAGTCGGCCCTTGAGCTCCATCTCAGCCCGGGAACCAAATGTTCCCTGTGTCCGGCTGGCCCCGAATCCAGCACTGACACCCAGTCTTGTGAAAAGGAGCCCAGAAAGCTGAGTTTCGATTCGCATTCACACCACCTCTGCCAACGGGAACCAGCCCGCCGCACTGCGCCTGCGCCTGCCGCGGCGCGCAAATTGACTTCCAGTCCCAGCAGGCCGCGGGGCCCTGAGGGCGGGACGTTCTGGGAGAGGCTGGGACGGGGAGGGGCGGGGCACCTGGGAATGGCGTGGATCGCGGGGGCGGAGCTTCCTGGGGAGATTGAGAACTGAGTGGACGGGGCTTCCTGGGAGCAGCGACTGTCGCGGGGGCGGGTCGCTCTGGGAGGCGTGAGGACCGGGGTGGGCGGGGAGACGGGAGGGGCGAGGGTCATGGGGCGGGATCTGTCCTTTGAGGCCGAGGTTAGAGTCCTGGGATCCCGGCAGGTCTCTGCTGCTTTTGCCACCCAGGTCTGCTCCGAGCGCCATGGCCCAGCCACCGGCCGACGTCAGCGAGGACGACTGTCTCCCGGAGTACCACCACCTCTTCCGTCCGGACTTGCTCCAGTGAGCGTCGCGTCTGGGGCACCCCAGGGAGCCGGGCAGGGGGCGGGGGCGCCTGCGGTGCTCGCGGCGGGGGACTGAGGTTTTTCTGGGATGTGTGAGGACCCCAAGCCTGGTGGCCAGGCTGTCCAGATGTCCGGGTATCCCAGCGAGGCAAGTACTGGTGTTCCGATCTTTGTCCTGCGTGAGCATGTCCTGTTTATCGATGCGGAGGTGGGGACGAGTGCCAGAAAACACAGAGCAAAGATCAGGAAAAGGAAGGATTAATTATTACCAGCACCAGGTAAGGAGAACACTGAAGATTTTCCCCAAAGCTGTCTCTCCAAACAGCAAATTTGGGGAGGTTTTAAGCTGAGTGCAAGCATCTTAAGAAGGGGTTTGGGTGGTTGACGACGTCCAAGCTAGTTCGTTAGTTCGTTAAAGTCATGAGTGTCAGAAAAAGTCACTATCATCTCTGAGGTTCCAGTTGGTCAGGTTCCAGTTGGTCAGCACTTCAGGCTGATCTTTACCATCAAAACAGAATTGGGAGACTTTACAACCAGTGTATGATTCGTATCTTGGCCATTGTTACTTCTCTTGCCTGATGACAGTTGTTAGTTTCTGTATTTTTCTGAGACCTGTTGAGGGCAGCACTGTGTCCAGGCTTAGATCACAGAATGGCATAGGCCCCAAATGGCTTCTCTTATGTCAAGAAAAGCCTGCCTGTTTCTCTTTCTCCATGAATCTGCTATCCTATCCATTTAGAGGGTGGCAGGAGGAAGGTTTATGTTTTGAAAACATTTCTCATTAATTGATAGCTTTCTGCATAGAGACTTCTAGGTTGAAATCATTCTTCCCAAAGATTCAGAAAGCCGAGGAATGCAGGCTTTCAAAAGCGGTGTTTCTCAAATTTGACCCAAGTGCCCAGTGCAGAGGGTCAGTGGAAGAGCACCTCCACCATCCCAATTCAACAGCATTCCCTTACTCTTTTTACTTTTTATTTAAACAAATTAGAATTTAGAACTTATTTATTTAGGTGCACTGGATCTTAGTTGCGGCATATGGGGTCTAGTTTCCTGACCAGGGGTGGCCCCTGTGCCCCCTGCATTGGGAGCATGGAGTCCCCATCGGTGGACCATCAAGGAAGTCTGAACAGGGGCCTCTGTAAAGAGTCTCTGTTTTTTCTCTCAGGGACAAGGTGGCTTTCATCACGGGTGGTGGCTCTGGAATTGGGTTCCGGATTGCTGAGATTTTCATGCGGTAAGTGAGCACTGCTCTGTGTGGTCCATGCCCCATCGTGCTGCCCCCTCCTCCTTGGGAGGGGGCCTGGGATCCTGGGCAAAATGCCAGTCGGTGGTGGGAACCCCTCTAGTTCCAGGTCCGTCAGAGAACATTTGAAAGGGGTCCTGCCACAGTCACTCAGCCCACGTAGGCCTCTGGGTCCTCTGCCAGCTGTGCCTTCAGCCCGGGGCTGATGTCTAAGTCTGAGAGACCCTTGGGGGGAGGGGCCCCTTAGATTGCTGGGCAGGAGCTCTGCTGGGTGTGTCCCTTGCGCCTTGCTATCCTCACTCCTGCTCTCTGGCTTTGCAGGCACGGCTGCCACACAGTCATCGCCAGCAGAAGTCTTCCCAGAGTATCGACGGTGAGGGGGCTCTCCTGTGCCCAGCCATCAATGGGTGACTTTGGCGGCCAGGAGCCTAGACCTGGAAGGTCCTGAGGTCCAGAGGGTGACCACACCAAAACCAGCCTGTCTCCCAAATACGGAGCTTCAATGGAAGTGGTCCCCAGGGACACTCTCATGTTTTTACAGAATCTAATTATCGGGTCCTGAGAAGCGACCCTTCTGTTGGGTGGTACTGTGGCCCCAGCAGAGTTCTCTGGGCTTAGCAGGTTCTCGAGGGGGGAACATATCTCTCCTGCCACAGCTGGTCTCAGCATAGGGACTGGACATCAGCTGGAGCTGCTGTTGACCTGTGACCAGTGGCCTGGAAGGTGATGAAAGGGGAGAGGGTACAGGATGTCTTAGTGTCCGCCAGGGGTTGTGGCCCTGGGGAGGACCTGCCTCCCCAAGGTGGGTTTCAGCCACAGAGCCCGGGTCCCTGGCAGAACCTGGCTCATCATCCTCATTGGATCCTGAAGGGCTGTGCCTCCAGGCGAGGCCAGCAGGCTGCTGCCCACCTCTCTTCCTGTCTGGCTTCTAGGCTGCCAGAAAGCTGGCCACTGCCACTGGCCGGAGGTGCCTCCCTCTGTCTCTGGACGTCCGAGCTCCCCTGGCCATCGCAGCAGCTGTAGAGCAGGCCTTGCAGGAGTTCGGGAAGATTGACATTCTCATCAACTGTGAGTCCCTGTTGAGCATGACTGGGGGCTTCTGACGTGTCTGCAATACCAGACCTTCCTGTTTGGACGCCCTGGAACTGTCCTGGCTTCAGGTCACTGTCTCAACCCAGCTGTGCCCCTGCCGGGTCTATGCAGCCATGGCTCAGGAGGATGCCCTGAGAACTAGGCTGAAGCACAGAGAAGGGTCACTCTCATGTCCTGAAGTTCCCCATTGAGGAAAAGGGAAGACACATGACTGTTTTAGCATAGTTTTATTTTTCAATACTTATTTATTTATTTGACTGTGTTGGGTCTTGACGGTGGCGCGCAAGCTCAGTATTTGCAGCTTGAAGGCTTGGTTGCCCCGAGGCATGTGGGACTAGGGATTGAACCTGCGTCCCCTGTGTTGCAAGGTGGATCCTCAATCACTGGACCACCAGGAAAGCCCCTGTTTTAGTACACTTTTAGATTCACAGACTAATTGAGCAGACAGTGTAAACAGCTACTCATACCACACTCCTGCCACACACACACATACACACACACATCGTGTCTACTATGAATACCTTGCATTTGTTACAACTGTTAACTGTAGTCTCTATGTTCAGGTTCATTTCTCCTGAATTTACTTTAAAAACTTGCAGTGTGACAACATACTCTAGTAAAAAATAATTTTAAAAAATCCCCAAAATTAGTGTATCATTTTTCTGCCATTGACAAAGTCATAAGCTGGGCAGCTTAAAACAGCAGGAACGCATTCTCTCAGTCTGGAGGCCAGAGATGTGAGACCAAGATGTGGCAGGCCATGCTCCCACAGGAGGCTCGGGAGAGTCTATCTGGGGCCTGGCTTGTGGCTCCTGGGGCTGCTGCCTGTCATCCCTTGGCCCCTGGCTGCATTCCTCCAGTCTCTGCTCTGTCCCTCTGTGCATGGCTGTGTCCACTTTAAGGACAGCATTCCTTGGGTTTAGGCCACCCTATTCAGTATGATCTCATCTTATCTTGATGACATCTGCAAAGACCATGTTTCCACATAAAGTTAAGTTTACCCACACTGGGCTTCCCAGGTGGTGCAGTGGTAAAGAACCTGCTTACCAACGCAGGAGACACAGGAGACGTGGATTCGATCCTTGGGTCAGAAAGATCCCCTAGAGAAGGAAATGGCAACCTGCTCCAGTGTTCTTGCCTGGGAAATTGCATGGACAGAGAAGCCTGGTTGGGGTTACAAAGAGTTGGACATGACTGGACACTTATAGCTGTGACAGGCATCAGGTGTTGGGATCCACTGAAGAGTGTAACTTTTTGAAGCACACGATCCAACCCATAACACCTGCTCTGCCCCTCATTGCTTTGATTGCCCGGGG